GGTTCTGGTATTGCTGATCCAAGATGAGTGGTATGGCGACATGTAGGTTCTGCTATAGCTTATCCTAGATGAGCGATATGGCGACATGTAGGTTCTGGTATTGCTTATCCAAGATGAGCGGTATGGCGACATGTAGGTTCTGGTATTGCTGATCCAAGATGAGTGGTATGGCGACATGTAGGTTCTGGTATAGCTTATCCAAGATGAGCGGTATGGCGACATGTAGGTTATGGTATTGCTGATCCAAGATTGGTGGTATGGTGACATGTAGGTTATGGTATTGTTGATCCAAGATGAGTGGTATGGCGATATGTAGGTTCTGGTATTGTTGATCCAAGATGAGTGGTATGGCGACATGTAGGTTCTGGTATTGATTATCAAGATGAGCGGTATGGCGACATGTAGGTTCTGGTATTGCTTATCCAAGATGAGCGGTATGGCGACATGTAGGCTCTGGTATTGCTGGTCGAGGATGAGTGGTATGGTTCCATGTAGGTTCTGGTATTGCTGATCCAAGATGAGTGGTATGGCGATATGTAGGTTCTGGTATTGCTTATCCAAGATGAGTGGTATGGCGACTTGTAGGTTCTGGTATTGCTGATCAAACATGAGTGGTATGGCGACATGTAGGTTCTGGCCCAACAAACCTTTGCAATCTGTGTGGAATTGCTGGTCCAGGATTAGTGGTATGGCGACACGTAGGTTCTGGTATTGCTGATCCAAGATGGGTGGTATGGCGACATGTAGGTTCTGGTATTGCTGATCCATGATAAGTGGTATGGTGACATGTAGGTTCTGGTATTGCTGATCCAAGATGAGTGGTATGGCGACATGTAGGTTCTGGTATTGCTGATCCAAGATGAGTGGTATGGCGACATGTAGGTTCTGGTATAGCTTATCCAAGATGAGCGGTATGGCGACATGTAGGTTCTGGTATTGCTTATCCAAGATGAGCGGTATGGCGACATGTAGGTTATGGTATTGCTGATTCAAGATGAGTGGTATGGCGACATGTAGGTTATAGTATTGCTGATCCAAGATGAGTGGTATGGCGACATGTAGGTTATGGTATTGCTGATCCAAGATGAGTGGTATGGCGACATGTAGGTTCTGGTATAGCTTATCCAAGATGAGCGATATGGCGACATGTAGGTTCTGGTATTGCTTATCCAAGATGAGCGGTATGGCGACATGTAGGTTCTGGTATTGCTGATCCAAGATTAGTGGTATGGCGACATGTAGGTTCTGGTAGAGCTTATCCAAGATGAGCGGTATGGCGACATGTAGGTTATGGTATTGCTGATCCAAGATTGGTGGTATGGCGACATGTAGGTTATGGTATTGTTGATCCAAGATGAGTGGTATGGCGATATGTAGGTTCTGGTATTGTTGATCCAAGATGAGTGGTATGGCGACATGTAGGTTCTGGTATTGCTTATCCAAGATGAGCGGTATGGCGACATGTAGGTTCTGGTATTGCTTATCCAAGATGGGCGGTATGGCGACATGTAGGTTCTGGTATTGCTGGTCGAGGATGAGTGGTATGGTTCCATGTAGGTTCTGGTATTGCTTATCCAAGATGAGTGGTATGGCGACATGTAGGTTCTGGTATTGCTTATCCAAGATGAGTGGTATGGCGACTTGTAGGTTCTGGTATTGCTGATCAAACATGAGTGGTATGGCGACATGTAGGTTCTGGCCCAACAAACCTTTGCAATCTGTGTGGAATTGCTGGTCCAAGATGAGTGGTATGGCGACACGTAGGTTCTGGTATTGCTGATCCAAGATGGGTGGTATGGCGACATGTAGGTTCTGGTATTGCTGATCCATGATAAGTGGTATGGTGACATGTAGGTTCTGGTATTGCTGATCCAAGATGGATGGTATGGTGACATGTAGGTTCTGGTATTGCTGATCGAAGATGAGCGGTATGGCAACATGTAGGTTATGGTATTGCTGATCCAAGATGAGTGGTATGGCGACATGTAGGTTATGGTATTGCTGATCCGAGATGAGTGGTATGGCGACATGTAGGTTATGGTATTGCTGATCCAAGATGAGTGGTATGGCGACATGTAGGTTCTGGTATTGCTGATCCAAGATGAGTGGTATGGCGACATGTAGGTTCTAGTATTGCTGGTCGAGGATGAGTGGTATGGTTCCATGTAGGTTCTGGTATTGCTGATCCAAGATGAGTGGTATGGCGACATGTAGGTTCTGGTATTGCTTATCCAAGATAGGTGTTATGGCGACTTGTAGGTTCTGGTATTGCTGATCAAACATGAGTGGTATGGCGACATGTAGGTTCTGGCCCAACAAACCTTTGCAATCTGTGTGGAATTGCTTATCCAAGATGAGTGGTATGGCGACATGTAGGTTCTGGTATTGCTGATCCATGATAAGTGGTATGGCGACATGTAGGTTCTGGTATAGCTTATCCTAGATGAGCGATATGGCGACATGTAGGTTCTGGTATTGCTTATCCAAGATGAGCGGTATGGCGACATGTAGGTTCTGGTATTGCTGATCCAAGATGAGTGGTATGGCGACATGTAGGTTCTGGTATAGCTTATCCAAGATGAGCGGTATGGCGACATGTAGGTTATGGTATTGCTGATCCAAGATTGGTGGTATGGTGACATGTAGGTTATGGTATTGTTGATCCAAGATGAGTGGTATGGCGATATGTAGGTTCTGGTATTGTTGATCCAAGATGAGTGGTATGGCGACATGTAGGTTCTGGTATTGCTTATCCAAGATGAGCGGTATGGCGACATGTAGGTTCTGGTATTGCTTATCCAAGATAGGTGTTATGGCGACTTGTAGGTTCTGGTATTGCTGATCAAACATGAGTGGTATGGCGACATGTAGGTTCTGGCCCAACAAACCTTTGCAATCTGTGTGGAATTGCTGGTCCAAGATGAGTGGTATGGCGACACGTAGGTTCTGGTATTGCTGATCCAAGATGAGTGGTATGGCGACATGTTGGTTCTGGTATTGCTGATCAAACATGAGTGGTATGGCGACATGTAGGTTCTGGTATTGCTGATCCAAGATGAGTGGTATGGCGACATGTAGGTTCTGGTATTGCTTATCCAAGATGAGCGGTATGGCGACATGTAGGTTCTGGTATTGCTTATCCAAGATGAGCGGTATGGCGACATGTAGGTTCTGGTATTGCTGATCCAAGATGAGTGGTATGGCGACATGTAGGTTCTGGTATTGCTTATCCAAGATGGGTGGTATGGCGACTTGTAGGTTCTGGTATTGCTGATCAAACATGAGTGGTATGGCGACATGTAGGTTCTGGCCCAACAAACCTTTGCAATCTGTGTGGAATTGCTTATCCAAGATGAGTGGTATGGCGACATGTAGGTTCTGGTATACCTGATCCAAGTTGAGTGGTTTGGCGACATGTAGGTTATGGTGTTGCTGATCAAAGATGAGTGGTGTGGTGACATGTAGGTTCTGGTATTGCTGATCCAAGATGGGTGGTATGGTGACATGTAGGTTCTGGTATTGCTGATCCATGATAAGTGGTATGGCGACATGTAGGTTCTGGTATTGCTGATGAAAGATAAGTGGTATGGCGACATGTAGGCTCTGGTATTGCTGATCAAAGATGAGTGGTATTGTGGCATGTAGGTTCTGGTATTGCTGATCCAAGATGGACGGTATGGTGACATGTAGGTTCTGGTATTGCTGAACCATGATGGGTGGTATGGCGACATGTAGGTTCTGGTATTGCTGATCAAAGATGAGTGGTATGGCGACATGTAGGTTCTGGTATTGCTTATCCAAGATGAGTGGTATGGCGACATGTAGGTTCTGGTATTGCTGATGAAGGATAAGTGGTATGGCGACATGTAGGTTCTGGTATTGCTGATCAAAGATGAGTGGTATTGTGGCATGTAGGTTCTGGTATTGCTGATCCAAGATGGACGGTATGGCGACATGTAGGTTCTGGTATTGCTGATCCAAGATGAGTGGTATGGCGACATGTAGGTTCTGGTATTGCTTATCCAAGATGAGTGGTATGGCGACATGGAGGTTATGGTATTGCTTATCCAAGATGAGTGGTATGGCGACATGTAGGTTCTGGTATTGCTTATCCAAGATGAGTGGTATGGCGACATGGAGGTTATGGTGTTGCTGATCCAAGATGAGTGGTATGAGCATATAATTAGGTTCTGGTATGGACTTCCAGTAGATTGTATGAGTTACAGCGATATTTATAGCATCGATTATGATCTGGGTGATGAGACTAAACATGTTTCAAACTTTAAGAGATCGTGGTTGGACTAATCTAGCTATGGATAAGTGTTTGACCTCAGATAAATTTTGAATAGGTGTTTGTCCTAATCTAAATTCAAAATAAAAAGATGTTTACAAAATAGCCTAACGTTTTACGTTTACTGTTGTTAAACATGCCCTTATCAAAATTATTCATTTGATTCGTGTTATATTTATCTCATTTATAGACTCTGGGCTACACGAGACCCTGTTATCACCGGGTCTTGGTTCAGATTATGAACTTTTGCATTACCGCTGTGTTACTCTCAGAATATAATTTTAATGATTTAATTTTAACTTTAATACTATTTAACATGTGAGCTTTTGCTAATGACAATAGCTATGATTCCTCGAAATTCTTCCTGGTTTCTACCCTACTCACTGAAATATACAATAATGATTCTCGGCTGTTATCAAAATGTTATAGGGGCCATGAATTCAAAGTCGGCAAGACTTATATCTCTTTTTAATTGAGGATATTTCAGTAATTTTATCCAAGGATGTTGGTTATATAGTCGAGAAAAAAAGAATTTATAATTCACATTAGTGACTAAACTTTCGTTTTGGTTCATATATGATCTATTCAAGTATGTTTCCCATTATTTAAAACTGAATGTGTTGCTTCAATTGAAACCCAAGGATTAAATGTAAAAGAAATATCTTCTTCGACACAGTTAATGGACCGAGTTGTAATTTGGCTTTTTCAGAACGAGTGCCGTGCCATGGACTGTCGATCAGGGTACTATCTGAAGGGTGGAAAATGTCAGTTAACAGATGTCGGATTGTCCAGAGTTGAGTACCAATCTGCAGTCCTCTTTTGGCCAACTGGAAACAACACATCCGACCCAAGACTTCAAGACTGGAATTTCATCGAGCCAATGGTTGTCCGTAATTTACCATTAGTTGCAGAGCAGTATAATATGACCTATTATATGCTTTCTGTTTATGAACTTGTGTACATTAACATTGATAATAGTTCCAAACGTGTCAATGTGCCATCGTTTGGACTGACATTGACGTTCAGGACGATCCAAACGTGTTGTCGGGATGCGTTTGAGGAAACCATGGTGGCGTTGTTGGGGCATGTTTGGTCGATGGAGTTTAATGGTTCGGTGTTTCAGTTTAGACTCTCTCAGAATGATTCTAATACTTATGGCGTATCAAAGAGACAGTTGTACAAGATGCATCCTCCCTTCACCAGTCCACAGAAGACGGAAACGTACGATAGCTTCCCGTCGGAGTTTGTTGAAACGCCTGAAGAGTACGTTTATTTTCCTACGGTTTGGCCGAAATGTTCATATGTTAATCTCCCTGGATATGAATTTGACTGGAACACTGATTCATCTATCTCTCTTCAGTATGCTGACATAACAATAGGTCATGATAAATTCATTGAAATAGACGAACAAAATATAATAATATGCGTGGACACGATAGAAGAGGTGTATTCCAAATACCAAGATCCAGTCAGTCTGGCTGAATATATTTTAACGATAGTTTTCTCTATTCTATCCTTGATCTGTTTGGCCTTGACTTTCATCACATACTGTACGTTCCCTTCCCTTCTTACCCTACCAACGAAGAATACGATGTGTCTGGTCGGGTTTCTCTTCTTGGCTCAGTTGCTGCTTCTGTTTGAGGATGTGGCCCATCGTGATGAAACAGCTTGCAAAATATTTGGCGTTCTCCTACATTACTTGTGGCTCACAGTTATATTGTGGATGAACGTCTGCTCCTATCACATGTTCCACGTCTTTGTAGTCGATATTGGAAAACCGATTGGTACCCAAGGTCATCGTAGTCGTCTTGTGAAATACTCTCTCTATGCCAATGGATTGTCTCTTCTCATTGTTCTCATAACAATATTTTCCAATCTCGGCATGTCTTCCGGAAGCCATATCGGCTATGGTGTAAACACCTGCTATCTGAGTACGTCGCTTCTTGTCGGTGTTGCTTTTGTGGCTCCTCTAAGTGTCGTAATCGTCATGAACATCATATTCTTCAGCGTCAGTGTCTGGACAATGGCCAAGATCAACAAAATGAGTGCAAGTATTAGGGCCGACAAGAGTCAGGTGCACATCTACATTAAGTTATCCACACTGACTGGGATCTTTTGGATCCTTGCAATCCTCGGCGATGTTCTCCAGCAACAATTCCTCATTTACATCTCCATTGTCCTGAACGCCGGTCAGGGGATCTTCATCTTTATCTCCTATATGGCAAACAAGAGGGTTCTTCAACTGTGGAGAGGCAAACTTTACAAATACGTACCTACTGCCAACAGTCAATCTTCTGATCGAACGCTGACCACTCAGTTGTGAATCACAAGGCAACATTCTCTAAGATCAAAGATGTTTTCTAAGGTGTTACCAACTCCACAGTTAATACATCATTTCCTAATACTGTAATTCTCTATTCATATGAATGGTTATGTGATGGTAACCTTCTTTATATCCTACATTGAACAATTGTTCAGTCCTTGTTGAATTAATACTGATTCCTGTGGAAGAATTCACTCCGTGTTGGAGCTCGACACTGAAGTTTGACGACTGGGAAATGCCCTGTATGGAGACACGTCTCGGCTTTTTGAAAGTGTTGGTCATGTATTTTTTACTGACGTTTTATCGTCAGTAAGACGAATTGGAGGACTCGAAACTTTGGGATGTTGCACACAATATCCAATCCGGGAATTAACAAGATTTAGGCGAGAGTTACCCATCAAATAGGAAGTTGTTCTGTTGAGAACTGCAACTTTTGGAATATGTCATTCCACTGATGCAGCATCTGAGTGAAAGTCTGAAGTGTCATCTTGGCTGCTCTCTGACGTGTCCCGTACCGTGTATTCAGCCTTATATTCTGATGTGTCGCCTGTCCTTGTACTAGTAAGTGTTCTGGGCCTAGATTTTCGAAGCTCTCTTATCGCTGAGATCGTTGTAAGTTAATGTTAATGTATGGCAGTTACGACTATCTTAGAGCTAAGAGAGCTTCGAAAATCTAGGCCCTGGGATTTAGGTTTTGCCTTGTCCTCAAAAGTTTTAACTGCCTCGTCCTCTTACACCCTCTTTGTCTCGTCCTTTGCATTATCCTCTGCGGTGTCCTCTGAATCGTCCCCTACTTACCCCTTGGCTTGACCCGTGACTTTTCCCCAGCCTTGTCTTCTGAACTTTCCACAGACCTGTCATCAGACCTGACGGCTGAAGTGTCTGCTAAGGTATTCTTTGTCCCAGCGGTTTAAACTGCCCTGCTATATAACTTGTCCTCTGAAGTTCGCACTGTCTTGGCCTCTTAGGTGTTATTCCTTAAAGATTTATTCAGCCTTGTGCCCGAGCTGTCCCCTGCCTTGTCTATTGTTGGGTCCTCTGATTTGTCCTCTGGCGTGACCACTCCTTTGTTCCCTTGAGGTGTCCTCTGTCTTTACCTCTTACATGGAGACTACCTTGTCCTCTCAGGTGTTGTGTACCTTGTCACCCGAAGTGTCCACTGCCTTGTCGTCTGATGCTGCAGCCTCGGTGTACACTAAAGTGTTCTCTACGTTGTCCTTTGATATGGCCCCTACCTTGTCCCCCCGTAGTGTCGTGTGCCTTGTACTTCGAAGTGCCCTCTGCTTTGTTCTCTGAAGTGTCCTCTGCCTTGTCCTATGACGTGGCCCTACCTTGTCTCTTGACGTGTCCACTGAGTATATCTTTTTCATTTTACAAATCTGGGGCCAGTATGTAAAGTACCTACCCGAGTGAAAAAAATGTGCATCAGATTTAATATATTAAATGTAACTTTCAATTAATTCTTCTGAATACTCATAATCGAGGAAGATTTGTTTTAACAGATTTTAACCACAATGTATTTTCTGGAGTTATAAATCAACAGACACAGTGCATAAAACGCCACGGAGGCATAAAAATAAAATGTCGAAACCATTGACTGTCAGCCTGTTGGTAACCAGGGACGCCTCAATAGGGCCGTGGTGGGTCGCTAGGTGAGAGTGTCCTACAGATTTCTCACATGTTATTATAAGGGTTTGATTGATTGCCGTGTTAACGCTACCCGGACAAGGAACTTTAATACGGGTAACGGTGAAAGGCAGATCGTTGTCAGTGTTAGACACTGCAGTGTAATAGGCGACATTTTAGGATTCAAGCTTCGTGTTGGGATGTTTGGAAAGAGGGTAAGTTGATATATAGCATGTATTTATAGACGAATTGTAAGTTCTCGTGTTTGTATTATATATCAGTATATTAGTATTGTAGGACAAGTCCACATGATTAAACTTTTGGATATATTTGAAATGTGGTTAACTTACTCTAAATCAATAAGCCCTTTTAGTTAGTGTATATTATCAACTAGCATTCGCTTACTAGAGTGCGTTTAGCAAAATTAAATGTTGGAACATGTATACCTGTATATCTAAACTACTTGATTGTGTTTATATGTATGCGATGTGTATACTGTCAGGGCTTTTGCTTTGTAATAGTTGTACATCTTCTTTAATGAGATTCACATTTGTGAATGTTGTATATGTATGTGTTAATCAACACTTTGATTTAATAAGACATGTTTTTTGCAGTACTTTTCCGAAATACTAAACAATATAATCTCCCCTTTACTCACATTTACTAGTAAGACAAGGGAAGCCCGACATGTGCTTCTCTTTTTTATATTCTCGTAAATATGGATTGTTATGCGTTACATGTCCTTAACTGATAAACATTAACATATAGTACGAGTTATTATTTACTTTTTATCCATGGTGTGTTATTATTAATCCGATGTTGACCCGCAACAAAACGGTATATGTCCCATGTGTTATTTCTGAATATTGCTCTGACGGGTGATCACGTGAGAACAATTTCTGACCACTGAGGATGATCACATCCTATTTGTGTTCCGGATGGACGTTGGTCAGTATACCACGAGGACAGCGCGTATATAGTTGCTCACGCGAATGACCACTGATTTTACATTTTCCTGGATTGCCCACTATTGTATCCAGTCATTGTTGCTAAACAGATACATTGCGGGTCACGCCTTCAAACCCTGTTTTAACACAATGTGTTTGATTGTTGACGACCTTACAAATTGATGAGTGAGTGAGTTTAGTTTTACGCCACACTCAGCAATATTCCAGGTATATGGTGGCGGTCTGTAAATAATCGAGTTTGGACCAGACAACCCAGTGATCAACAGCATAAGCATCGATCTGCGCCATTGGGAACCGGTGACATGTGTCAACCAAGTCAGCGAGCCTGACCACACGATCCCGTTAGTCGCCTCTTACGACAAGCAACAAATTGATGACATCACGTCATATGAACAATAGCAAGGGCACCTAGGTCGTAGTTGTCTCTTACCTCGTTATATTTCTACTCACCCACTCGCTGACCTTGGTGTAGGGAGCACTTGGCTGTCCACTGCAGAGATTACACTCGCTCGCTCAGTCACTCATTCGACCGACCAACCAATCACCCAACCACCAAATCAGCCACTCACTCACTATAACAACAGCTGTTCCTCTCAAGGGAACTCTATTTCGAGAAACCCAAACTCATCAGTCAACACAGAGCTTAAGAAGGTTTAGCTGTGTAAAAATTGAAATATGTCTAATTGAATCCGTCGGTGGTATGAGATAAGGGCCGTAGGGGATTCAGTGTTCAGGTGTCCTTATCTTTGGCGCTCTTATTGCCTGTCACAGAGCCAATAGACAACATTTGTGAAGGGTTTTTTAAAAACAAAACAAAATAAAACAGAAACAATTCCAGTGGGTCACAGATAATTGGGACAACGGTATGTTCGTGTGACTCTTTTTTCCTAATTCTCTCCCCCCTTCCCCTTCCCACTCTCCCTTTCTCTCGTTTTTAGGATGAGTAGACTATCTCGTCTCTGAAATGAACACATTTTACAGATAAACGGTTAATAAATTATATTCATAAAATCAAATCGAAATGAGCCCGGAGACTTTCTTCATTTTCAGAATGAAACCTGGGTAATCTAGACTTGCCACATATTGTAGACTTGCATGGGCTCTCCTCGGATATACATTTGTTTCAGGGTCTGTATGACAGACTACTCGAGAAGCTAAGATATATGAATCTAACAAATGATCCGGGTCGCGAGTGAATGTGTTAAGCACATACCTAGTTATCTCTCCTACGAAATAGGCAACCACGGGTCTCTGAATTGTTGAAATGAACCCAACTTATCACTCGACAGATCGAAGAAGTGAGTTCGCAAAGATTGTCGATACTCCTACAGGTGAGCAATGCTCTAATTACAGGACAACGCTGTGTTTTGACAGCTGTAGATCTAGATAGAGCTTATGTAGAAATAGACCTGTAGTTGATTCCGTGTAGTTTGTAAGTTTAAACTAGCAGTTGGAATTCATTTTGTAAGATAACTGTAGGGATGATACGTACTTTGAAAGAGCACACTAAACTGCAGTACAAGATCTTTTGAGACCGTGCATGAGACAATTAACGTTCATAGAACAAGAATGGCCTATAGAAATATAACACATATGTACATAACAGAATTTAGAAACCAGATGAAGTATATTTGAGGTTCACGTGACCAAAAGAGACTGTAAATGAGCGCGACGTGGGCTTGGTGTTGGGGATGAAACTAACAAGCAATCGTGTGAAATAAACGGGTGGAATATTAATAACACTTTAGGCTTAGCTCTTGTGTTGAAGGTAAACAAGAGTGTAGGGTAACGGTATGTGGTAAACAATAGCTAATACATTGGCTTGGCTTGGTTTGAAACATGAGTCGATCTATATATATAAAAACTGACAACTCTAGCAATGCAATATCTTTGGTGATACTCTTCCATGTAAATAAACAGGTCTCTTTTGGTGATGTCATTTATGTCAATATATAGTCTCTTTCGGCGATACCCATGCATGTAAACATAGAGGTCTCCTTTGGTGATACCCATGCATGTAAATATAGAGGTCTCCTTTGGTGATACCCATGCATTTAAATATAGAGGTCTCCTTTGGTGATACTCATGCATGTAAATATAGAGGTCTCTTTTGGTGATACCCATGCAAGTAAATATACAGGTCTCCTTTGGTGATACCCATGCATGTGGGGCGGTGGGGTAGCCTAGTGGTTAAAGCGTTGGCTCGTCACGCCGAAGACCCGGGTTCGATTCCCCACATGGGCACAATGTGTTAAGCCCATTTCTGGTGTCCCCCGCCGTGATATTGCTGGAATATTGCTAAAAGCGGCGTAAAACTAAACTCAGTCAGTCAGCCCATGCATGTAAATATAAAGGTCTCCTTTGATGATATCCATGCATGTAAATATAGAGGTCTCCTTTGGTGATACCCATGCATGTAAATATAGAGGTCTCCTTTGGTGATATCCATGCATGTAAACATAGAGGTCTCCTTTGGTGATACCCATGCATGTAAATATAGAGGTCTCCTTTGGTGATACCCATGCATTTAAATATAGAGGTCTCCTTTGGTGATACTCATGCATGTAAATATAGAGGTCTCTTTTGGTGATACCCATGCATGTAAATATACAGGTCTCCTTTGGTGATACCCATGCATGTGGGGCGGTGGGGTAGCCTAGTGGTTAAAGCGTTGGCTCGTCACGCCGAAGACCCGGGTTCGATTCCCCACATGGGCACAATGTGTTAAGCCCATTTCTGGTGTCCCCCGCCGTGATATTGCTGGAATATTGCTAAAAGCGGCGTAAAACTAAACTCAGTCAGTCAGCCCATGCATGTAAATATAAAGGTCTCCTTTGATGATATCCATGCATGTAAATATAAAGGTCTCCTTTGATGATATCCATGCATGTAAATATAGAGGTCTCCTTTGGTGACACCCATGCATGTAAATATAGAGGTCTCCTTTGGTGATATCCATGCATGTAAATATAGAGGTCTCCTTTGGTGATACCCATGCATGTAAATATAGAGGTCTCCTTTGGTGATACCCATGCATCAAAATATAGAGGTCTCCTTTGGTGATGCCCATGCATGCAAATAAAGAGGTCTCCTATGGTGATACCCATGCATGTAAAAGGAGATACCCATGCACGTAAATATAGAGGTCTCCTTTGGTAATACTCTTCCATGTAAATATAGAGGTCTCCTTTGGTGATACCCATGCATGTAAATATAGAGGTCTCCTTTGGTGATACCCATGCATGTAAAAGGAGATACCCATGCATGTAAATATAGAGGTCTCCTATGGTGATACCCATGCATGTAAATATAGAGGTCGCCTTTGGTGATACCCATCCATGTAAATATAGAGGTCTCCTTTGGTGATACCCATGCATGTAAATATAGAGGTCTCCTTTGGTGATACCCATGCATGTAAATATAGAGGTCTCCTTTGGTGATACCCATGCATGTAATTATAGAGGTCTCTTTTGGTGATACCCATGCATGTAAATATAGAGGTCTCCTTTGGTGATATCCATGCATGTAAACATAGAGGTCTCCTTTGGTGATACCCATGCATGTAAATATAGAGGTCTCCTTTGGTGATACCCATGCATTTAAATATAGAGGTCTCCTTTGGTGATACTCATGCATGTAAATATAGAGGTCTCTTTTGGTGATACCCATGCATGTAAATATACAGGTCTCCTTTGGTGATACCCATGCATGTGGGGCGGTGGGGTAGCCTAGTGGTTAAAGCGTTGGCTCGTCACGCCGAAGACCAGGTTCGATTCCCCACATGGGCACAATGTGTTAAGCCCATTTCTGGTGTCCCCCGCCGTGATATTGCTGGAATATTGCTAAAAGCGGCGTAAAACTAAACTCAGTCAGTCAGCCCATGCATGTAAATATAAAGGTCTCCTTTGATGATATCCATGCATGTAAATATAAAGGTCTCCTTTGATGATATCCATGCATGTAAATATAGAGGTCTCCTTTGGTGACACCCATGCATGTAAATATAGAGGTCTCCTTTGGTGATATCCATGCATGTAAATATAGAGGTCTCCTTTGGTGATACCCATGCATGTAAATATAGAGGTCTCCTTTGGTGATACCCATGCATCAAAATATAGAGGTCTCCTTTGGTGATGCCCATGCATGCAAATAAAGAGGTCTCCTATGGTGATACCCATGCATGTAAAAGGAGATACCCATGCACGTAAATATAGAGGTCTCCTTTGGTAATACTCTTCCATGTAAATATAGAGGTCTCCTTTGGTGATACCCATGCATGTAAATATAGAGGTCTCCTTTGGTGATACCCATGCATGTAAAAGGAGATACCCATGCATGTAAATATAGAGGTCTCCTATGGTGATACCCATGCATGTAAATATAGAGGTCGCCTTTGGTGATACCCATCCATGTAAATATAGAGGTCTCCTTTGGTGATACCCATGCATGTAAATATAGAGGTCTCCTTTGGTGATACCCATGCATGTAAATATAGAGGTCTCCTTTGGTGATACCCATGCATGTAATTATAGAGGTCTCTTTTGGTGATTACCATGCATGTAAATATAGAGGTCTCCTTTGGTGATACCCATGCATGTAAATATAGAGGTCTCCTTTGGTGATACCCATGCATGTAAATAAAGAGGTCTCTTTCGGCGATACCCATGCATGTAAAAGGAGATACCCATGCATGTAAATATAGAGGTCTCCTATGGTGATACCCATGCAGGTAAATATAGAGGTCTCCTTTGGTGATACCCATGCATGTAAAGATAGAGGTATCTTTCGGCGATACCCATGCATGTAAATATAGAGGTCTCCTTTGGTGATACCCATCCATGTAAGTATAGAGGTCTCCTTTGGTGATACCCATGCATGTAAATATAGAGTTCTCCTTTGGTGATACCCATGCATGTAAATATAGAGGTCTCCTTTGGTGATACCCATGCAGGTAAATATAGAGGTCTCCTTTGGTGATACCCATGCATGTAAATATAGAGTTCTCCTTTGGTGATACCCATGCAGGTAAATATAGAGGTTTCTTTCGGCGATACCCATGCATGTAAATATAGAGGTCTCGTTTGGTGATACCCATCCATGTAAATATAGAGGTCTCCTTTGGTGATACCCATGCGTGTAAGTATAGAGGTCTCCTTTGGTGATACTCTTCCATGTAAATATAGAGGTCTCCTTTGGTGATACCCATGCATGTAAATATAGGGGTCTCCTTTGGTCATACCCATGCATGTAAATATAGAGGTCTCCTTTGGTCATACCCGTGCATGTAAATATAGAGGTCTCCTTTGGTCATACCCATGCATGTAAATATAGAGGTCTCCTTTGGTGATACCCATGCATGTAAATATAGAGGTCTCCTTTGGTGATACCCATGCATGTAAATATATAGGTCAACTTTAGAAAAAAACCATAACGACATCTCGATTACCTCACGAAACAGATTCCAGTGGGGGTTTGGGGGCTAAAATAACGGTGAAAATCGTAGCAATGAATATTAATGATGACAACACTTCCCGAAGAGGGCACACAATGTCAACGCTGGAATGTTACTGTATACTATGTGTTTCCAGAGCATCAGACTGACGAATGATATGATCTCATTACAATATGACAATATGTCATATGCTTCATTATTGACAATTTGATGAGTCACACGGCTATTGCATGTAACTGTTTTGCTGAGCTGTAGTGAGATATTGATGACGCCAGATATTTGGGGCACTGCCTGACGAGTGCCTGTATACAGACGATTTCATTCGGAACACCAGGTTCAATGCCACACATTCAATGGCGCAGTGGAAAATATGTAACTGTGATAGACAGCAGTATGCAAAACACTATACAAAACAGAATGATCCGTGCATATAGGAGAAATGCGATTTTAAAGCGTTACAAATAGAATGCAATGTTGAAGATGCGTGAATATCATTTTGACAAAAAAAACACCAAAACAACATCTCACAGATAGCTGGATAGCATTATTAGCCGTTAAAGAGTGTAGGTTTCAGAGTCGTTCAAGGCGATCAATTCCAAGACGTGTTAGAAACCTGTTGAAAAATCATTGATTTTATCCTGATTGTTTCATGCAGAATGCGTGCTACCACAAAGGTAAACATCTCATGTAATATAGGTAAGTAATATACGTTACCCAAGCGTAATCTATCTGATCTGTAAAAGTCAATTTAGAATAATATCCCTGCCAAATGATATTGCATAAAAATGACATATTACGTCATTCATAGTTTCCCCTGTACGTTATTTACCAGTTGAGTCACGCGAGGATACATTTCACAAAGCAATAAACATATGAAATTGATGAACTTGCCATGTCAATCTTCCACACACATGAGGCACCATATCAAATGTGATTCTCCATGCGCATTATATTTATTGGTCAATTTTCCCCCACGCCATTGTAGCCTTAGCTTCAGCATACAATAGATACACACTTATATATTCTTATATATTCCGCTTGTGTTGTGTGTACTGGCAAAGGAATGCACCTCTTGTAGCTTACACCCAACACGAAACGTCCAACATGATGTATGGTAAGCTAAACAGTGAATAGGCATAGCCTATCAAATGAAGGATCTGTCGAGGGGAACCATGTGGTATGACAGTAGCTATTGTACACTTCTTTCTTATCCACCAGCTGTTGACATGGGTTTTGTTTTCTGCCCCATATCGAGTGAATACACACACGCGAGATTTTAAATACATGCTTGATAATACCCCTTAGAAGGTCAGCTGGTCAACGGATTCAATGCGGGTGTCGGATTCAGTTAGATAGATCTGTTCTAAAGAGTTATGGTTGACAAATTACTGCACCCTGCGATAGGAACACAGTTTTGTAGAATGAACGAATTGTTTTAGGAACCGCTTTGAAATGCATGCGTTTTATAACTGAAAGTCTTACCCTTGAAGTGTACACTGGAGGACAGGGCGGATACTAAGGTAGGTGAAGGAAATATCTAAAACTAAATGAAGAATACCAAGTGATTACTACGTTTACATGTATTGTTCGTCCTAACCTGAAGCGAAGGTATTTTGTAACTGAAACACAAATGAATTTGCATCAGGAAAGCAGAACTGCATAATAAGAAATCATATAATGGTACAGCGCGAATGCATTTAATAACTTTATCAAGAAAACGCAGAAGAGTACAATATCAATACATTTTACCTATGAATGAAAAAACTTGTTAAGCAGGTTATAAAAAAAACGCGTTATAGTACAGTACGAATAGTTAGAATCATCAAAGGTACAATACTGACATACACTGTATAGAGAAAACGCGCACATACACTGTATAGAGAAAACGCGCAATGTTGCCATACATACGCATTTTAGTTACCTGGACAGCATCAACAATTTTACATTTTTGTTATTTCATGAGTCAATATTTGTTTTTAATTATATTTGAAATTACAGTTATGCTTCAATTGTATGAAAATAGCGATGAAATAGAGCAAGACCCTCTGGTAAGAGGTGTTCATGTGAAACAGGGCCCATACAATCACATATAACACAACTGGTCACCAGCTGCCGTCTTATCGATTATCTGAGCACAATACAAGGTCACATGCATGATTCAACAACCCACGTAATCTGGAAGTTATTCGCCAAGTTTGAATACAATCCCAATCACTGTCCGCTGTATCAGCAATACTAATGCTTTCATCGATATTGCAACTAAGCTATTCATGCTGCTTATCTTGCTGATTGTCATTTAAGAAGCGATAGTACACTCATTGCCCAAAACGGTTTAATCTACAAACGCCTTTATCCCTTGACTGGCGAGTCAAGATTGGGTCTGTTGAAAGTAATGCAAACCAGGTCACTATGTTTAGAGGTAACTATGTGACATTTCCATATCATACAAATGACTTACATCCCACATGGATCCGATATTCTAGATCAGTCCGAGACTCCCATAACCGGAATAAGTTCCCATATATGTCAGGGGAACACATAAGAACCCGAGACTCAAATATGTATACCAATCCGAAATTCCACTTTCAGCACGATTCCAGTATGAGCCAGGGTATTAAACTCCCAAACATTTCAGCCAGACCACAGGGCTGGTTAGATGTAAAACTTGCCAGCCCTGACCAAAACTTACCTGCCCACAAAAAATACTAATTTACTTATTTTTACGAGTGAATTAATAATGATTTATTATTCTGAAATATGATGAATATCTTCATATACATGTCTAAATTTCAACCCGACCGTTGGGCAGGTGAATTTGAGAATCTGTCAGTCCGTGTTGAAAATAACCCGTCCCTGGCGGTCGGGCAGGCAGGTATTTCGAACGCTGTATGAGCCCTGGGCTGCCATATCTGCCAGAAGGTCCAATTTCAGACTCGGTGTCTGTCGAGACTTTCGAATTAACAGAATATTCCCTTATCAACCAAGACTGCAATATCAGTCTCCCAGAGACCCATATCTGCTTGATACCAGTGAAGATCCGGGTTAGAATTGGTCTTCAGCAGCTCGTGCTTGTCGTAAGAGGCGACTAACAGGATCCGGTGGTCAGGCTCGCTGACTTGGTTGACACATGTCATCGTATCCCAATGCTCATACTGTTGATCAGTGGATCGTTTGGTCCAGACTCGATTATTTACCGACCACCTCCATATATGTAGCTGGAATATTGCCGACTTCAAACATATCAGCTTGAGACCCACATATCAACCCGAGACTATCATCGGGTATACTCTTGTATAAGTCAGTATCAATCAGACCCAATCAATTATATCAGTCTGTGACACATTAATACATATTGGTATATTTTCAGAGATGTTCTTTTTGCAAATCATGCAAATCCTGTGTGATACTGTGATATAACCTGCGTGAGTCGGGCTCTTCGCTTCATGTGCAGAAAGAAACAGAATGGTTCGGAGTCGGCATTTGTAGTACTTGTACCATCTGACATTACACTCAACTCTCGGACTGAGAGTGAGATTAATCACACCTACGACACCTGGGTCACCTGAGACACCCTGAGACACCTGGACAGAGTAATGGGTCTCGATCTGACTTTATTTGTGGGCGCAATAGACCCCGCCCTCATCTGCAGCATCTGCAGCCAAGTGTTCGTGAACCCAGTGTCCAACTCCTGTCATCACATCTTCTGTCAGTCGTGTATCGGGAAGAGCAGCAAGTCCAGGAAGTCTCAATACTGCCCGGAATGCTCGACCAAACTCCACGCAGAGTCCTCGGAGGTATCGGTGGAGCTGAAACTCAAGCTGTTGGGATTGAGAATCAAGTGTAACCATGGGTGTGGCATTGTATGCGAGCTAGCAGATCTTCCTGACCACGTGACTTATACATGTCCCAACGCTCCCGTTTCTTGTCCTAACAAAGATGTTGGATGTTGTAAGACAGTGAAGAGGTGTGAGGCGAGGATTCATGCTGAGGAGTGTTATCACAGGTACGTGGTTGAGTCTTTTTGCATCAGATATATAGAGATTATTACACCAGCAAGTGTGTCTATGGCATATACGAAACAAGTGTGAAATTTTGTATTGCACGGGGAGAGCGAGAGTGACGGCAATACATAATTTTGCACGAGTTTCGTATAAGTCATATGACACACTTGCTCGAGTGTAATAATTTCTTTATTATCCTTTTTATTCATGTACATTCGTGCAGTAAAACACGTAAGCAAGTGTGACGGTCCTCTTCATTGACGTCATGTTCAATTGTTTGATGACGTTACAGACGTCGAAATACAGAAACAATGGTTGCTAGGCAAAAGTGATATGTGCACATGTGCACATATGATATATATGACACTGGTTATGTTTCACCATATGGGTAATCGTATGAAAGTCCACATTATGAAACGTTGTTTTCACGAATTAACGCCGGAACATTCTCGTGTCCATGTGACCGTGTGAGTGAATGAGTGAGTTAGAGTGTGTGAATGAGTGAGTCATGTGTGCGTGAGTAAGTATATGCGTGTGTGTGTGAGTCTGTGGGGTAGGTTTAACGTTGCTTTCAGCAGTTATTCGGTTATTCTGTCGCCTGTCAGGTGAATGTGAGTGAAATGATCGAAGTGTAGACGTCAACAACTGTGATGAAACCATCGATCATGGATGTTAATTTGTCAAGGATCATGGACAGGATCCGACCCCACTGACATTAGAATTCTGGTGCAGTTAGAGAAGCGGCGTACAACCCAGTCTTTCCACTATTTAACCATCCACACTTTCTCACCGGGTTTAATTGAACGTCGATCAATTTGCAAGAGTATCATGGGGTTAACACAAAAACCAAACTATGATATTAAATTATTCAGTTCAGTTAACATATTTAAACCACAGTTTCGGGGCGATTGGGTAGCCTAGCGGTTAAAGCGTTCGTCACGCCGAAGACCCACATGGGTACGATTCCCCATATGGGTACAATGTGTGAAGCCCATTTCTGGTGATATTGCTGGAATATTGCTAAAAGCGGCGTAAAACCATACTCACTCACTCACTAAACCACAGTTTCACTCCCTTGCAGATTTGTGGAGTGTGAGGCTTGTGGGTTCCGAGTTCAGTACTGTGACCTCTTCACTCACCAAAGCAAGACTCGATGTCTGGAGAAGAAGCTGAGACAACAGGTTGCGCGCGCAGTGAAGTCAACCAACATGGAGGTAAGACGTCACCGAGACTACGTTAAGCGTCAACATTTCCAGCTTGAAAGACATCAACGACACGCGGTAATGAGCCATTTCAGATCCAAGCAACAAAACTACCTGGACAGTGTGCGCTCTAAACACAACGACGACGCCAGTGACGACACGCTTTCCGCGTCCTCCCCCCGGTCAAAGAACTCAGTTGCAGGGGACCAGTCTCTAGTTCTAAGTGCTGGCAAATCTCCACGGCCGCCACATACAGGGCAGAGTGTCTTCACTTGTAAGAACTGCAAGAAACCATTCAGAGAGACGGGCAATCACAGCCTGGCATGTTCCTACCACGCAGGGGTGAGAGTCTTAATATCAGCCTCCGTCAACTGACTGATTCATGTGATGGCTTATACAATTAGAGTGTCAAAGAAGATTCATAAAAGTTGGTCTGTCTATATTATTGAGTCAAAACTTGACGTCAATCGCCAATGTCTTTACAAGTCCTAGTAAAAACTTTTGGATGGGAATATAAATTCGTCAATTTTGTTAATGTTTCATCAATTCATCGCTTTTCTTGAACTAGTATGTCTTGGCAATGGATTTTGGTATACCCATTTTCCGAAATATCAATGCTATTTTTATGCTTGAAAATATTAATCAAGTAACTTCTTTGCACATATTTTCTGTACGGGTGAGCCATTGCTTGTATCATTGTGGTCAAACGAGATAAACATCTGACACTGAAAAGTCCATAAAGCATTAATGAAACTTTGCACCATGATAACATTTCTGATATTATATTTTTTTTAAATAATGGACAATAGATTTGAGTACTCATTAGTTTATTCGGCAAATAAGTTACCTTCACGTCCGATGCAATGTTGAACGATACCGCCTCTCACACACCTATTCAAATTCTGTCTGTTTCTTACATATACCTCCAACAGCCAGTAAGTATACACTTTCTACTTACAATAATTATTAACATGACTAAATAACATTTCCACTTAATATACAGAATATTTGCTTTTCCACTAAAGAACCGAGAAATATTCATTTTCGCTTTAAATTCTACTTCTATAGACCCAGGGATAACATTTTCTGTATTCTTTTTTTTATAAAAACCCAACAACTTTTCTCCAAGTAATAATCTTTTGTTTTTCCATGACGTCCGCAGATTGTAAGTATATGTGTATATATGTGTGTGTTTCTTGTGTGATACAATATGCACCCCTGTCAAAGGAGATTTTTGAGGTGGCATAGGTTTTTCTAAGCTTGTAAATCTTGACACATGAATGGTTAAATTAGCATTTGGCAAACTAAGCATCGGGTTAGCTTTTTGTATGATACGGGTTTTCTTTCAACACAGTTAACACCGGGTTTAATGGGGATGGAGGGTGATTTTATATGGGTTGACGCCCAGTGCAATAACTGTATATATCTTGCCGGGTGGAATACTGATACGAACTATATACATATACATGTAGTGGGTAGTATAAGACATGTAGTATGGTAGTATAAAACATATGTTGAAGATATGGTCTATGTTGTTCTCGAACACCTCCTTTGCACCATATGCACCAAAAGCCTTCACTGTTATTGGTTGTGCTCACTGCTGCATCTACACGAAAGGCACTGACATATATACATGGCATCTGGCATGCACGCGTCGGGTCAGTATCAGTAATGTCTACATATTTGAGAATATGTTGTATATTTCGGGATAGCCTTGTGGTTAAAGCGTTTCTTTATCTCTTCGAACATCCGGGTTCTATTCTCCACTCGGGTACAGTAACACAAAAAAACACGCTTTCTGTTTCGCGTCCACTTGTGTCTGATTGCCAAACCTGCGTAAATACTAATCAGTTGTTGGTAAACTTTTCTCCAAACATACCGGAGTCATGACAAGGTAAAGTGGCGAAAACATCATATATGAAAGAGGCATACATTTTCACAGCGCAATGGGTTTCTCTGACTATGCCATTTTCATCGTGTTTGCACCGAGTTTGAAGTTAACACATCCTAATACTGCTGTGTATGTTTTGTATATATTCCATATGGTAATACTAATTGTGATGTATTTGCATGAATATTTTCTAACATTGCATTCTGTGATATAGGATGGTAATCGCAGGGTGATATATTTATAATAATATTCCACCAACCTGGAATGATAGATACAATAGAATATTTCATAAACAACTAATTATAATTGCATTTTCAATCTGTCACACCATTTATTAAAAATACATGCTGTGTCCATTGCGATGTTGAGAATATACTTTCCTTAACAGCAGTTGCCATGGTGACTATGTCTATAGACCACAATACCGCAAATGTGTAAATGCTTAATTCACTATTACAGGCTATATTGCACAGCTGAATGTTACGTACTTATACGTAGTGCATCCTCCAATATCTCCAGGGTACACGTTCCGATAAATCTCCACTAGCAGTATCCTGATTGGATAAAAAGCCAGAAAAGGAAGGTCATGCAATTATCAGGCCCAGCCGTAGAAGCATCGAGTCTACTATATAGTGGAGATTTATCGGAACGTATACCCTGGAGATTATCGACTACGATGTAGTGGTGAATGGCGCATTCATTGCGTGGTGGGGAATGTCACATATATGTAATTTATAATGTTTGGACTGTTTTCAAGTGAAAGCGGACATTTTTATATACGTTGAAGTTATACAAAATATTCATATTTACATAATAGGATTAATACCAAGAGATAATGGGCTCAATAATAACACATTCAATAAGTGACTATGAGAAAATTTCAATTTTTGGCAGATAATTTCTTTTTTTTACGCTTTTCTATTTCGCTGTACATGCAAACAGATATTTAGAAAATAGTATATACACGTATTTCATGCGTGTATGATATAATGCATACATATTTAATGTGTATATATTTACAATTAATCTATATGTTAACACCACATCCAGAATCATATGTAGAATTTCTTTTCCTTTTTTTCATATGGATGGGGCAGATTGATGTAAGTATTAATATTTCGTGCATGAATAAACTGGCCAATTTCAACCAAAACGTTACAAGACATATGCCGTGTGAAAACGAGATAAGAGTTAAAAAAAATCCATACAACATCCATGTTAAAAGTCTAAATGTTGTAATCAATTAAGATTGAATGTATTGAAATTTTGACATGTGTTTGACAAATGTGACGCATTCATGTAATTCTCAGCTGACATCCCAATCGACCTCCTCCGTGGTCTAGCAGATATAGCGGCTGCCAGGAGGGTTCGATCCCCGGTCGCGTCACACCAAGATACCCTTAAGATAATACATAGGGCGACGTTGCTTGGCGCCTGGAGTTTAAGGGGATAAAACAAGAACGGTTCAGAATATACAGTGTCTGAGCTGGGTATTCACAAATGATACCCGTGATGGTCCGGGTTAGAATTGGGCTTCAGTAACCCATACTTGTCGTAAGAGGCGACTGACGGGATCGGGTGGTCAGACTCGCTGACTTGGTCGACACATGTAATCGAATCCCAACTGCGTAGATAGATGTTCATGCTGTTGATCACTGGATTGTCTGGTCCAGACTCGATTATTTACAGACCGCCGCCATATAGCTGTAATGTTGCTGAGTGCGGCGTTAAACAACAAACAAACAAAACACAGATCTCAGAGGGCCAGCACTGTAAAACCTGGCATTTGTCCGGACTTGTAGGCACAGATGCACTTGCACAACAAGACTATATACTCAGTTTCACCACACCGTGAATAAGATGCGTTTTTTGTTTCTTTTTCATATTGATCGATCTTGATAGCTTTTTGTAAGTATGTCTTCTCTTCTTATGTAGTGTGAGTAATTTGAGCAACTTTTGTGCATTTCACTTTAAAACAATTCTGTTTTTACCATTCTTTTCACCTATATATATTTTTACATGTCTAACTATGCGCTTCACCCAGACATTTAATGGGAAAGGTATAAGTTACATTTGGGGGTCATGTTACCCATTACCGGGCGTGAATGGTCGGTTCCTTCATTTCGAAATGACATTTTTTATTACTATTGATAACACGATACCTTTTTATATTTCATATTTCTCCTACAACCGTGTTCGACAGGGTGTAAGTATGGCTTGATTATTACAATGAAAAAGTAGATATTAATCCATAAATTCATAACGTTGTACGATTCCTCAATACGACATTATTTCCCATGTTTGTATGATTTGCATGTAACTGCATTCATAAGTAAGAACCTGGGCCCCGTTCCTCATAGCGATCGTAGCGCTGCGACAGTCCTAAGGCTATGTTAAAGTATGGGAGTTACGATCATCTTAGCGCTACGACAGTCGTAAGTCTATGTTAAAGTATTGGAGTTACGATCATCTTAGCGCTGCGACACTCCTAAGGCTATGTTAAAGTATGGAAGTTACGATCATCTTAGCGCTACGATCGCTTTGAGGAACGGGGCCCTGTTTCTTTATTTTTTAACAAATGGCTAAAAGAATGATCGCAAGTCTCAATTTATTTTCATGATCTCGATCACCTGCGGCCAATAAAGGGGGTAAGCGTATTTTCTATATTCTATAAAATTGTGATAACGCAGTATGGATATATTGTGGGGCTGGGTGCATGACATAAGACTGTACGTCTTGAGTGAGTGAATGAGTGAGTGAGTTGGGTTAAACGCCGATATGAACAGTATTCCAGTTTTAGCATAACGGCAGCGTATGCGGGTTTCCATGGTTTCTGACGTTTACCACTTTGGTGAAACCCATGACTACGGGTATGGTGCTAACAAAGCTGGGAACATACTCGTTCCGGGCTGGGGTTCGAACCCAAAGTCATAGTTGCATACCAAAGGGACGCAACTCTGCAACTTCCGGCGCCCCCGACGACTGGGTCACCTATCCACGTTAGTGTTATACATGCACTTGACACACGCTTTATTGCCATTGCAGACATGTTACAAGTGTGGAAGGATGGACTACCAACACGGGTGTAAGACTGGACAACACATTCCGGACAATGGTCATGACAACGTATTGGCAGCATGAGACTGTGGTGCTGATTGAGGTCAATATTCGTGTCCACGCTGACGTGGTCCCACAATGGTATTCTGCATAATAGCCAGGGGATAATCTGGACAAGTGACATGCTTTTCACAATCAGAACGCGCTTTACACACAAGGTGTTGGATATGCTGGAACATCAAAGTTCAACTGAAAAAAGGATTTTATCAAATGATTGGAGAATATTTTTTATCATTTATTTGATATTACATACGAAGTTCAGTCTTAATTACTGAACTTAATTACGTATGTTAATTAAAACATGTACTTCACTGGAAGACATTAATCTTCATTAAACATATTAAACAATTGCAATTTGTTTTTTATTGCATTTTGTTATATATGGAGTACCAAATGGATTATTTAGTTACTCGGACATGATACTTTCTTAAAATGAAGTTTACTCTAATCTCAAGACTATTGTCATTGGCCTGAATGAATTGTGAATATTGGAAAAGTTTTTCAGGCCAACATATATGTGTAGTTTTCACGTTATATACGGGCATAATGCATGTTAGATACAATTCAATCAGTTGATTGGTTTGACACAATCGCAAACTGGAGATGGAGATAGATTTTCATTTCTTTAAATACAGTCGAGCACCGTTGTCTCGATATTCACATTAGATACATCCATCGGAACCGGGAGATTGAGGAAGATGTCCCCGTCTTGAAATGTATCTGTACATCCATTTAAGGATGCAGACCCATCTGAATGGGAGAGATGGAGAAAGCTAGGTTTGGACAGAAAGAATTTCTTCATCGCACAAATCCTGATGCGTTCGAATTCAGAAACACAGGGCGGATATACTCTTTCATCCACGCAATTATTGATGTGTTTCAATAAAACACTAAAGATTAACAGATAAAAGTCACCTCTACATTAAATTAAATGGGATACATTATTTGCTAAGCTGAATATGTTCATTTCGGTACTGAATTCAATGAAATACGTGGATTAGCTTGCTGAATACATAGGTGTACATTCGCCATGCGCTGAATACTTGAGGTACATCCACTGACGAGGAGAGTGCACAGGTCTTAACCCTTCCAGGCACTGAATTCAATAAGATGCTTTAATTGATAAGACATCATGAAGGTGCCCCTCGTCCATACATTAATTTGATAATGAGAATTACGAAGAGATCTACCTAGTTCCGCGGGAGGACCATGGAAGGCTGACCTGAGGCAGTAATGGAAGCCATGCGAGTCCTTGCTGTAAGAGAGGTGAGCACCGTGGCAAGTGTTGCTTTGTACAGTTCATTTCTTTCGTACTGGGATTTGTGTCAAGCGTATGCCTACACATTTCACACCCCATGCCCAAGCTGTCATGACGTGGGATGTGCTTGCACGTGATCTAAGTGATCAAATTAGACCTTAGTGACCAAAAACAAGACTTTACTCTTGAGAAGGTTTCAAAATTCGTAGAAGCTGAAGAAGCTGATGTTCGTTCCAAATCGTGACTTCACTCTCAAGGTAGGAGGCATTTACAGACGAAGCAGAGTGCAGCTATAAAATATGTCTCCAGTATACTACCACTGTGACAAGAAGGGTCACGGGAAGCACGCAGCCCCCAAATTCTGAAAAAGTGAATACCCAACGTAGGGCCACACCTACAGCAGATCCAAATACTTTGATTCTGTGTGAAGGAGTGTCATGAAAGTAGAAACACAGTAATTGGGGGAACGTAACACAACGCCAGAGGAAAGTGAGGGAACAATTCTTTATCCTCACTGCGCAGTTTATAAACCTGCACGGATGGAAAAGGAACAATCATCCACGTTCACCACGTGCATTACCAAGTTAAAACCAACTATCTGACATGTGGACAACTTTTATCAACCTTACGGTGAAAGGCCTCCGGGAAGACCATGACGAACTGTGCCCTGTTCATATACTACCCATCATTGTGTGTGTGTGTGTGTGTGTGTGTGTTTGTGTGTGTATGGTTACATCGAAGATGAATTTCTCCACTAACTTTGGGGCAACCAACTGCAAACTTTATGCAGATGAATTGTACGAGGATCACGCATCAAATTGCTGAAAAGCATGTGTAAATATCTTGCATGTGAACAGCTGCGTTTTGGTGTAAAATTTTGTTAAGAATTCGCCAATTTTCACTCTGAACTCATGATAATAGTCTTTAACGTTACGAATTTGTTTTACAATACTTCAGTTCATGTGTAAATAGTACCTTTAAAAATGGAATATTTTGCAAAATCTAGTTCAGAACAGTTGACTGAAGTAAGTGGCAACATTTACACGAAGTGAGTCTAAACTTTTGATGGGTATTATATTAAAACCAATATCAGCTTCCAGTGATGTCATGACAAACCCTGATTCCAGAGTTGTCCAGTATCTCAAATATCATTTATTTCAGTACTGAAGAGACCACAGGCCCATAGTACAATATCAGATAACAAGAATGGCATAGTATCACAATGTTTGCAGGCTGTTTTGCCAGTATCAAGGTTATATATCAACGGTGTCCCACGTTGCCCATGGTGGAGTGAGCCTCTAGACGGCATCTGGTATCATGGTTGAGTTAACACATCCTTCCGCTCCGCAACAGTCGACTCTATATCTAAAACCATGACAACCATAAAACTTTCACGTGGTTAAATTCTCAGTGGATACATGTACGATATGTTCCTGTGGGTCTGTATTTTTAAAATCCCTGTATAACAATGCTTCTGTCTCGTTACTTGTTAGCAGCAGAATCTCTGCATGTGTACACAGTAGACGTAATGAATGATTGACATATCGGTTTTAGTGGTTGTATTCTGTCTCTGTAATTGTGGTCGATTACTTGATTGTCTGGTTTGTCTGTAGTCCGCCGACGCATGTCAGGATACGTGCGCGGCGTTATACAACAAAGGCTTAGTGTTTAATGCAAATTGTGTGCTACCAGTATGAAATCCCGTACGTACATTCCTCAGTCGAATCTATTAACTATGTGAAATGCCACTCATTTACCCTGCAACCTTTCGATCTCTGTTGACGTCAACATTCAAATGCGAGTGAAATCCTGCGGGATCAGTTCAAGCTAGGCTTTTGCTCGACGAGCAGACATATCTGCATATAAACAATCTGAAATTCCTTTTAGTAGCTGCTTATTTTATTAACGCTTCAAGCAGTATGTGTACAATCATAATCAATCAACACTCGCCCCGTAAACCACTTTAAATCCGCTATTCGGCTTGTCCCGGAATAACACGAGTTGGTCGCGAATGTCATCGTTTAAGGTTTTACAAAGGGAGACAAAAAATGAAAGCCTGGAAACGGGAACGCTTTGCCATTCAGTGGGGGTGAGGACAGCCGATATGACACTGGTTGTTGGGAATCACAGGGGCGAGTTCCTAACCCACCCTAGACTGAACGCCACATAGTCATGACACGGGGTTCATCATCATGGCCACTTTCATCAGAATGGAATGGCACATTGTGCGTGGGACTGAGTGAGTGAGGGAGTTTAGTTTTACGCCGTTTCTAGCAATATTCCAGCAATATCACGGCGGAAAATGGGTTAGATGATCTTAATGTGATCGTGCTGATTGTGTGTTATGGTACGTGTGTTACAGGGGGGATATTTGCACATGTTTTCAGTCATTGTTTGCCTGGCCAGCACACAGGCCGTGGTGACGTTAGTCAAGGAGCTTATGGGATTCCGTGAAAGTTTTTTGATGAAAGCAAATCATATATCCTTTTGTGTTTATATGTTAAAGGAGTTTAAAAAAATGTTTGGTTCCGATCTGAATATTGATGCAAAGCTATTTTTAGCTCAAAATCCAAGATGGCCGCCAAAATTTAACCGGGAACTGAAAAAGTTGCAAAAACTCGGAACAAAACAATGGTTTTAATATCAAATACCATGCATATTTGGTTACGGAATATATTTCTCATATGCTGTAAGTCACCAGATCGTTTTAGTTTGATTTTAGTCTTAAATTTACATTAAAGAGTCATTTTTAGCTCTAAAAGTTATAATGATGAGTAAAACCCCAATTTCTTCACTAGGCATATATTTTGTATAGAACTAGTACAATATAAAAAAGGAATATACTTTTTACCATGTTTATCAACTATAGAAGAAGTCTTTACATGAAACTGCGACCCAGAAATATACTCTTCAAAATAAAGAAACGCACAAGCCATTTTTTAGAATAATTTCTTGCATTAGTTTAAGAGCTATTATTTCATGTAATCCCAATGGTAAAAGGTGAATATTCAAACGTCTATAGACAAAGCCTTTACTGTTGTGTTTCTGTTCTCTTGAGTCCACAAGATGGCGTCAAAGTCAGTTCTTTGTAAGGCCACCATTGGCAGCAATTACTGCTAGGGCACCGTCTCGGCACAGACTGGATAAGTTGACGAAGTAGCTATTATCATCGTAGGCGACTTCAATTTCCATTTTGACAACAAGGATAACCATGACACTTAACGAATAATTAATCTTCATGAAGTCCACAACTGTGTACAACTCGTGTCAGAGGCAAGCCACAGAGGTGGACACACTGTGGACTGGATAGTTACCCGTGATTCAGACGCGTGTGTCAGTTGTGTACCTGTATAGAATCTACAGCTCTCTGACCATTTCCATATATTTGTAGGCTTGGACCTTTCAATACCCAGTCCAAATGTGAAGATTACTCGCTGTAGGAACATGCGCTCCCTGGATATGGATACTTTTAAAGACAATTTGCTAAACTCAGACCTTATACTTGAGCCACCATCTGATGCTGAGAGTCTCGTTCTGCAATACAATAGAGCTCTATCTGAGCTGCTATATAGACAAACATGTACCAGTGAAGGACAGAGTCATACCAGTCACTAAAACATCTGCTTGGGACTTCACACCTGAAGTTCGACAAGCGAAAAAAGAAGAGGAAAGCAGAACGCAGATGGAAAACAATATTTCCTGGAGATTCATCTCCAAATGTATATTTCAGCCCAAAACTACTCAACAACGGTCATCAGACAAATCAACATCTCAATTCTAAGATTGAAGCCAACGAGTCAAGTCCAAAGTTGCTGTTCAAACTTTTGTTCAGTATCTTGAGTAAGCACTTTGAATCGACACTTCCGACATCTGATGACAATGAAGTAATAGCACAGACATTTATTTCTACAAAAAGATCCAAGAACATTCATGACAAGATTTCGATAGTTTCACTGATATTTACCAACATTAGTGCTGATTATTAACTCTTCTACTTCATCTGGTTATGTCCCAAGTGTACTCAAATCAGCTCTAGTTAGCCCACATCTGAAGAAATCAAGCCTTGATTAGGAGGATCCAAAAAACTACAGG